GGGGGATAGTTGTTATTTTGGGATTTTCCCTTTAAAAAAATATGTCTCCTATTGTTTTTTTAAATTTTATGTGATACATTACACGATATTTAGTTAGACAAAATGTAAGGGTTTTTATAGATATTAGTACATTAGATCTTTCATATTTTCCAGTTAGCCCTCATATTATTAAAATTTTATTTAGTCCTCGAATTCATATAATTAGTTAATCCAGATTAGCGCTATGTTAGTTTTTACGTCCAACTTCAAACTCTGGTGCTGTCAGTGATTAACCCAACACCGTTTGTTTATCGTTTGATTCTCGATTTGCTCATCTGCCAATATGGAATTATGACACCCGACCTTCGTCATAGTTTCGGGTCTTTAGCGTAGTAGAAGAGGCTTTAAGTTGATATTACAGCAATTCAAATCTCAAATATGCTTATCCGAAAACATTAAAAAATGAACATTATTACTAACTAAAAAAGGTAGTTTTCTGATCATGGAAATGACACTTAATATGCCAAGACGTCTGTGTTTAGTTTCCATGTCATTTTCCACTTATTCTAACCAGTTCTTTTCTCACAACCTTCTTCAAGTCTGAAAACTAGGGAAGATTGATCATATGTAAGTATCCAACTTGACTATTCGGTTCCTACTTTTCTGGCTTGAATAATATTTATATTTTGTTTAGACGTTAAGAAATTTCAACTAACATCTGAAGTTTTTTGCTAGCAGGAACATGGAGGAATTGATGACTGTCACCCATAATTTCAGTCAGTAGGGATTATGAAACATACAAGTTAATCTAACATGATTTTCTTAGAAATCACGGCACCTAATGTTAAATATAGTAGTTAGGGTATCTTGCTAGTATTATGAACAATAGTTGTCGTCTTACACTACAATTAGGAGGGTCCGCTTCTCTTAATCCTTACCCTCTATCTCAATTTCAATGGACGACATGCCACATAAGATTTTCATTAGTAGTTTTGACAATAGTGGTTACCAAGATAACAACGAAAACCTTACCTTACGTGGCGTGATCTCGCCCACCGAAAGTGATGTGGACAGGAAGGATTGAGGGGATTGGACCCTCTCCCGTTACCACCTAATTCAAGAGGATTCAGATGTATTAGACATCTCATGCCTTTAACATGATTGTACACATTATTTACATAAAATTTCAAAACAAGTTATGCAAAACAATTAAATATATTTTCTAGATTAGTTTAGTGCATCCGGTCTTAAGATTAAATTGCTTCTAAACTAAATGACAACAGGTTATGATATTCAGCTACCACCTTGTTTTCAATAGAGTTTCTGCGAGTACTTACTTTTTGTTTGTTTGTTTTTCTACAGATCAATTTGCGTTTCCCGGAGGTCAGAAAATAATACCATGGAGTGCGAGGAGATGAAGAACAAAGGGAATGCGTCTCATAAACGACCAATTGTTGTCAATGAAAGTGTAGGAAGTGATGATGAGTTGTCGTCCGAGAAGAAATTGAAGACCAATTCTCGAGAACTTGTCAAGAATCTACTCTCAAGAGTGATGAACGATTCCCGAGAAGAAATTGAAGACCAATTCTCGAGAACTTGTCAAGAATCTACTCTCAAGAGTGATGAACGATTCCTCTCATCAAAAGTCAGTATCTTGTCAAGAATCTACTCTCAAGAGTGATGAACGATTCCTCTCATCAAAAGTCAGTATTTTTTATTAACTTCACCCGAAGTATTCATGATATGGGCATTGAGCCCATCAATGTACTTGACTGCACTCTCTCATGGATGCTAACAGAGCGCAAATCACTCAAAGATGAAGAGGCCGGCTTCCTACTGAAAGTCATGAACAAGGTATTGCCCAGTTGCGATGAGGACAAAGTTCGACCTTTGGTTTCTCGAATTATATTAGTTGCCCAACCTTTTGTTGAAGATGCCTCCTCTCATTGTTGCATCAAGGCGAGCGAGATCATCTACACTCTCAGCAAAATCACGGGTCTGGATGAAATTGCTGTGCTGATTCGTCTTCAGATGAATGACAGTAGTGATTACGTAAGGGATGTGGCGGTCAAAGTTATGGGGATCGTAGCATCTGCACTCGGAATTCATGTTGTTTTCCCGTTCATCGAAAGTTGTTGTCGAAGAATTGAGCCATTGCGAGTCCGTTGTGCTGCTATAAGAATGGTGGAGCAGTTTGCTGTGAGGATCGGATGCACGTTGCTGCCACATCTTTCGCCTCTAATTGAACTTATGGAGTTCGGTCTCCTTCACAAGGATTTAGAAATCATGCGAATCACAGCTTTATCTCTCGCTGCTCTTGCTAAAGCGGTGGCACCCTATGGATATGAGCACTTTAAACCGATATTGCATCGACTCTTCGATTTCTTCAGCAGAGATGGAGTTGGTTTTATTCATCGAAGAGGGAAAGTGTTGGGAGCGCTGGTGAAGCTATTCACTTTCATTATTCAACTTCTAACGTATCCATATCCCAGCGACATCAATTGGAACGTAGCGAACGGGGTATTGCTCGTGTCGAGACTTTCGGTAGACGACGAGGAGATGAAGGAGATTGGATTGGAAGCCATCAAAAGCCTAGCTGAGATCAAGGACGTTCTGTTACAGGGTTTTCTAATGGGCGGGCCTAGATGTTTCGTGCGAATTATGTGGACGAGAACGATGATGAGAAGGGACAAGTACGTGTTGTTGGCCGATGCAACCGTTGCTTTGGCCAATAAGTTGGGAGTTGCGTATCTCAAGAGATCAATATCTAAAGAACTCCGATGCAACCGTTGCTTTGGCCAATAAGTTGGGAGTTGCGTATCTCAAGAGATCAATATCTAAAGAACTCGATGATTATAGTGAAGATTACAGGCAGATGGTGTTGAAAATAATTGAAAAGTTGTTGGCGTGTCCTGATAATTCATCGGATCGTTTTGCTCAGTTGGAAGACGCCTTTCAGGATATCGCCTACTTGTTTTGTTCTTCGTTTTAGATTATATTGACGCAACCAACAATTTTTTGCTTTTGAGATATCCTTTTTTTCTTTTTTTCTTTTTGAGATATGTGGATCTCCAGTATGTTTTTTTAGTGTCGAAACTGTTTCTATTGAAAAGCAACAATAAATGATATTAAAAATATATTGTACGAGTATTTGTTGAACGTGCATTTAGGCCAGTGGCCTAATTTTTTGAGGACCGCCAACCATGGCCTTGCAGAATTACGGCCCACTGTTTAAGATCAAATATGACTGTTAGTGCATTTGCAATTGCACTGGTCAAGGTTGAATGCTCCTATGGACTGTAAGGATTGAATCTTAATTTTATCGAAGGTAATTATTAACATAATTGTTTTAGTTTTTAAAAAACCTTATAAAAATGATCCCACTTTCTGCATTATGTAAGGGCATTTTTACGTATTCATCCCATATAAACTAATAAAATCCATGAATTAAACTGATGAAATACATGAAGAAATATAAAAATATACTATTGCATCATTAACCTCCTGCTAAATATTTTACTGTAGACTCACAAAATGATCTCGTTGAAACCATAAATGTAGTTTGGGGGAACAAAATAGGTAATTCGATACATTAGAGAGCATACTGATAGTTTACCAATACTTTAAGGGGAACGATCATTTTACCCTAGTTATTATGATACTAGTGGTTTTCAAGGTAACAATGGTTTTCAAGAGTACATGACATGTTCTCATCCATAAAAAGTAATAAGAACTCCAAGAATTGAGAGAATTTGACCCTCTCCAATTACCACATAATTAAAGAGAATCTGGTTCCTTTTATGTTTTGTATTACTGTGTTTTCATTTGGAATGGATTTATGCAATTTCTTTTGTCAATATATTAATCTAGAAATATCATTTTGTTTTTTGTTGATCGTTAATGAATAAATTGTCTCTATGTTTATTTTTTTACTACGTAATTCTAGCAAAGTGTAAACCGTTTAAAATCTTCTGATTGGCTATTTCCAGAGAAATTTTTTCACCGTATTTGAAATAATTGAATTACAAATAAATTTATAACTACTGGATAAAGAACCTCCTCTATTAAGCGAAGAGGAGGGAGATTTTATGTTGGCGCATGCCACCGCATTTTGACATTGATTCTTGCACACCAGTCGATAATCTACGCGAAAGCGTACTTTGCAAAAGCATCATCAAAGCATCTGATTAGATCTCCTCATTTTTCATAGACCAATCAATCACAGGACAATGAAGAAACTCTTATAAGTAACTTGTTCGAACCAAAAAGAAAGATGCAAATCACATAAAACAAATCAAGAGACGAAGACGAGAGATTTATGTTGCTCGACAATCAGTTACGTCCATAGGACGAGGGTTGAGTTTTCTTTATATTAGAGATTGCATAGATAAAAATTTTCTTGTGATCTTTAAGGATTCCACAAGTGACTTAGTCTCTTTGTGCACAAGTTGATTTTCCTTGTGAACTTATTCACAACTAAGATTTCCTAGAACTTAAAAAATTAAGATCAAGAAACCAGAAAAATGTTAATATCAGGGGTTGTTTGCTTGCTTTCCTCCGTTTTCCAAGTCCAACAATCCTACACTTTTTGGTATTTCATTCAATTTCATGGAAAGTTATTTCTTGTGTTTGTTTTGTCAAAAATATGGAGAATAATTGCTTTCTAGGAGTTGATGGGCGAACCGATTAATATATAGGTCTAGAATGATTGGTGAGTAGATGCCCGAATCAATGGCGGATTTTGGCGATCCAGGAGTTGATCCCTAGGTTTTGGAGTGCTCTTAATCCCTAGGTTTTGGAGTGCTCTTAACGCGATGGAAAGATTTGATTTTTCACATTATGCTCAAATTGCTCAGAAAGTGCTTAAAAGATCTGATGGTGACGATGGGTCAGATCTGATGGCAGATAGGGCAAAGAAGTATGCGACAGATGAGACTGGCATAGAGAATCAGATTTGATTCTAGCAGTAGAGTTATCAATATATAATTATTCAGAGTCATCACGGGAGCAGTAGTTGGTTAGTGTGTAGACTCGAGGAGGACAGTGCCAGACTAGGTGGAGCTTGCGAGCGGGCACGATTGAGTGACATACACAGATATGGAGATGGTGGCATTGGACTTGAAGGCGATGAGCGCTCATATTTGGTCCAACCCAAGTGATGAAGGAGATAGAGGCATCCAGCTTGTAGTGTGGAGTAGGAGAGGTGCACCGATATATTTCGAGACGAGGGATGCAGGTGGAGTACGAGGATAACAAGTGAGGGAAGGCTATTGTCAAGTTCAATTTGGAAGGAGAAGCATGGTTGATTTGCTTCTAATGTCAGATGTGGCAAAAATCTCTTGGTACACACAAGAGAGGTGGAGGCGCCACAACGAGACAGATGAAAGTGAGAGTCATAGGGGCATCCAGTTAGAGTGTAGGTGATTCAATTTGAGGTGCAAAAAAAATAGAAGACTCTAGCGGGAGAGACAAAGTTTCAAGACAACGATGATATAACTTCAATGGAGTTTGGGTATCAAATCTAAGGTGAAGATTATTGGGATTGTGTCTTTGATTCTTTGTATAACTTCATGAGAATTAGATAGGGTTAGAGATTTATTATAATTAAGAGATTAGGTCTCATCATGATTAGGAGTTTGAATACTATTCTAATTAGGAAGTTAGACTAGAGATAAAGTTTTGGTTTCCCTATATATATATATTCTTCTATCGATAGAGGAAAAACCAAGCAGAGGAGAGAGAGCTAATATTCTTATAATCTAGGATTAGCAGAGGGCGTAACCTGATTCAAGAATATTGTGCGAGAGGCGAGGGTTCAGTAGTTTTTGTTCGTGTAGAAGATTACATCATTGGGAGAGAGTTTCATAGTCTTTGTCCATTCAAAAGATTGTAAAGAGAGGGCTTCGGAGAGAACATGAGAGTTGATTATGTATGTGAGCTTGGGAGATGAGAGTTGAGTGGTTTCTCTTGTAGTTTTCCCTGATACATAGTGGATTTCTCCTATTGTTGCCCCGTGGACGTAGGTTAAAGTTGGTTGACCGGACCACGTAAATCTTGGTGTTCTTTCTTCTTAATTGCGGTTGTTTTCTATCATGTTGATTATGGGTTGACTTTCAAGTTGCACATATTGTAGTAGGTGGGAAGACTAAAATTCCCCAACAATGAGGACGAGTTTAAATTGGGAAGGTGGGTGTTTAGTTTTCTAGTCGAATGGAATGATAAGTTCAAAGGTTATCTTTTTTTTGGTTAATTGCACATTGGTCCCTTACATCATCTTTAATTGCCAACTAATCCCTCAAATCTCATTATTTAGCTTATTAGTCCCTTAAATGTTTAGTTTTTTTGCCAATCCGTCCCTCGTGTTAGTTGGTGTTATTAATGACTATTAAATGTGACGAAATTAGGTAAAATACCCATTATGCCCCTAACTATAACAACTCAAATCCACCTTCTTTCTTCGGCAAACCCAAAATCAAGGTCATTCCCATGACTAGCTTCACGCTAAACCCAAAACTTACAAGGGTAATATATACCCTAGGGGTAATATGGTAACTTGAGTTGTTAGGTTACGCATTAACTCAACTAGAGTTAGAGAAGTTAAATGTTTTCCTAACAGAAGGACCATCTTGCAAGAAAACTGAAGATTTATGGGACTAATAAGCAAATATTAAGATTTGAGGGACTATTTGGTAATTAGAAAAGATATAAGGGACTAATAGGCAATTAACCCTTTTTTTAAAGGGGTTTTTGCATATACCCTAATCTTCTATATTTGCACTTTTACCCTTTGTATCTTGATATTTGCGGAATTGCCCTCTAATTATCTCATATCATGTTTTTCTACCCCTTAACAATTAGAGAGTTTTAGTTCTGAGATGGAAAATATTCCAAACCAATTGAAAATTATTGGAAATAAATCTCGGTGACGTCACATCTACAGCCCTGTTTCAATATATCCTTTATCTTCTTTATATTTATTATTTATTTAAAAATATCTTACTGGAGAAGAATAGAGATAGAGATATAGAGATATTTAAAACTGAAATGCTCTAATATAGTCTTTGCGATCCTCTGAAGGTTTGTATTAATATATATATATATATAATTTTTTTGTGGCGCTTCTATTGAGCCCACGGTAGATTTGGGCCTTACAAACTGCATTGAAACCCACTAAGGGCAGTATGCAGCCCAATTACGTCAAGATTAATTAGTTCGCACTTGAGAATCCCAAAGTCCATGTGGACGAATCAGGAGCCAGCTGTAATTTAGCCTTAATTTTAAGGCAGTGTCCACTAACCGCCAACAAAAACAATAAATCCCCAAAATACCCCTCCGTTCTCTTCAAAAGCCTCACTCACGTCTAAGGCGCCGTTGTCCTCTCTACAAATTAAAGCTCTCAAGCCAACTCCTCACCCATCTCCCATCTCTTGCTCGTGAGAAAAAAACGAAACAAACGTTCCAAATGACCCCCAAATTCTCAAAGCAAAAACCCTAATTTCAAGAAAACAATGGCGATCAGACCCTCATCAACCCTTTTCTCCCCCCGCATTGCGATCCTCTCTTCGTCTCAGGAACCAGGTAATCCTCATCCCCTAAACCCTAACCCTAAGAATCGATTCTTGTTCTTGATTTCTTGAATTCTTGATTTCAGCGGGAATCACTCCTAGCTGCGCGCGCTTCACCTTCGACGCCACCCTGTACCCACCGGAGGACGACGACGACTACATCATAGTCGGGACCATCGGCTGCCCTCTCGCTGCCACCCTCTCCGCCGCCGGCCACCACGTCCTCCTCCTCGAGCGCGGCGGGACCCCCGACGAGTTCCCCTCCCTCAGCTCCCAGGACGGATTCCTCCAAACCCTGGTTGCCGCCAACAGCCTCGATTCCCCCGCCCAGTCCTTCGTCTCCGACGACGGCGTCCCCAAGGCTCTCGGCAGAGTCCTCGACGGATCGTCGGCGATCAACGCCGGATTCTACAGCCGGGCTCACAGGGAGTTCTTTAACGCTTACGGTGTCGAGTGGGACCCGGAGATGGTGGAGAAGGCGGTGGGGTTTAGGCCGGAGCTGAAGAGTTGGGCGTCCGCAGTGAGGGATGGATTGATTCAAGCGGGAGGAGGCATAGTGCTGCTGATTTGCTGGCATTGGCGAACGCGGAGAATTTGAGGGTGCGACTAGGGCTAGCGTGGAGAGGATCTTGCTCAATTCAAATCTATCCTCAGGTTGGTTTTCTTGATTTTTTTGAATTGGGTTCGTTGTTCTGTTTTCTTGATTTCAGTAGAACAGTACCGTGTCAAAATCTTGATTTCTTACATTTCGGTTGGGTTTTGATAATGTTTTGGAACATTTAGAGACACCGGTTTGCCCCCAATCCGGTAGCCTCTAGGCAATGTGCTGTGGCCTACATTGTCATTTTTCACCATTTGGAAAGCTTGGCGCTTCGGGTTTGAGTCTAAAACAGTTGGCTGAGTTGAATTAATTGTTTAATCTTATGGTTCTGATTGGTCAATCATATGATTAATTGGTTAAAAAATAAGTAATTGGACAGGAGCAATCTTTATGAGTATTATTTAAATATTCTTTTATTGAAATTTGATGCAATTTTGGCGTTTCCAGCATGCTTCTGAGGGTAATAATTCGTTAACATCTTTACTACGAAGTAGTTATCACAAGTAATTTTGTAATTGTCTAGTTGGTGCTAAGATTTTACTTAACTAAATTTCAATTATGTCTTGCCTTCTTGTTTGAAAAATATCAGGCATTGTTGTGAGGCTTTAAACCCATTTAGACATTTATGTACTGTGATCTACGTTATCTTTCTTCATCCCACTATTCTTAGATTGTTGAATGAGTTTAAATGAAGTGTAGGATCTTATTGATTGGACCGCTGAATTATATGATTAATTGGGTCTGTCTATGCAAAGTGAGTAGTTGGGTTTGAACGATCTTTTGGAATATTTTTGGACACCCTGTTATTCTTCCAACAACTAAATATCTTCCTCTCAAATCTGATCATATTTTGTACAAAAAGGTTTGATTTAGAGTCATTACTCATTAGACCAATATTTTGTGATCACAACATGTCTTTCTACTTTGGCACTATTTTCCAGGCTTCTACCACAAAGGAATTTTATGAACATAGAAACTTAATTGATAATTTTTGTCTTATTATTTCTTAAAATTGATGTGTTCTCTAATTTTATTTTAGTATAATTCCTTTTGAGTGCTAATTTGATATTTCAGCGTTCTTCCACATACATTTCAGGATTCGCTGCTTAATAAACTTGTGGAAGTGATTTCTATCTCTGCAGTATCTTTATTAATATGTAGTTATTCCAACTATTTTTCCAATTCTTCGGTTAATGATAGGTTTTTTTTAAGAATAAAGCTGCTACAAGTAATTTTTCTACAGTCTCTTAAAAGTTTTGATGTCTCAGCTACTCGCTGCTAATAAGTCTGAAAGAGAATTTAACATGCTGATTGTCAGGAAGTAGCATTTCTGGGCATCTAGGCTAGTTGCTTAAAATATAATGAATATAATTACAAAGGTGGGGGAAAATAACTGTTGTATCTCATGCCATCAAAACTAAACTTTTGTTGTTAAACCTTAATTCTTAGTTTGATTTAACTTAATTCTTAATTGTTATAGATAGTAAAAGCGGGTACAGCGCTGCGCCATCCGGGGGTTGAGGTGCGGTCTCGACAGGGGGAGGGTGATTAGGTGCCATGTGTGCGGGAGGGCGGATACTATCGCCGTAGGGTAGGTGATTGAGGGGGAAGATGGTAGTGTGACTTAGGTGGTGATGAGGCCGTTGTCGCCGTCACCATGGGCTCAGCTATCACGGCCGTTGCTTGTATCGGAGCACCGCCATCTTCCCTCGCCCTTCCTCTTCGTCGACTTATCTGGTTTGTGGTTCACGGAGAACGTGGGGTAGCGCTGTCACTGAGACTTGCTGGTTTATACATACGAGGCAGAGGGGTTGAGGGTTGTTTTTGTGTACGATGAGTCGCCGTGAGTGTTTTTCTCTTGGCCTTTTTAAACTTTTCAATCTTTGGGGTTAAACTTGTTTATTTTAAGTTTAATTAGAGTTCGAAAGCTTGCTCTCAAAAGTTGTGGCTTTGGGTACTGACCTTTGACTCTCTCTAACCCTATTCCTCTGTTTTGCATTTAACTTTGCTTTTTAATGTGTTTTTTGGCCAACCTTTTTGTCACTAACCTTTATTTTTCTCTTCCTTTTTCTTGCTGGGGATCCGGATTCGACCGGGTCGCTGCTTACCTCAGGCATCAGTGAACTTTAGGTCTATAGACTTTGATACATGACCCCAAAGCCAGATTCCTTTTGAGTTTTTTCAGGGTTCTATAGACTTTAGGTCTTAATCACATTGTAAACTTTAGGTCCTGGATGATGACTGAGATTGAGCTGCAAGAAGTCTAACTATCATCTAAAAAGACTTTGAACATGGAAGTTATAACGTAGACACAACCAGATGAAAGAAATGAGTATAGGTTAACACATGAAGTTGCATATCACCCACATGAGAAAGTGATAGCAAAAGCATGACAAACTTAAAGAAATAAGTACATTATGTACTGGCATTTAGTGCTTCACTCCTTTCAGGCTTACTACATCACAAAACACACCAACTTAAAGACACCTCAGAGCTTCATAGACTGAAATCAACTTAGGTTCAGAGTTGCAAGTTAGGGTACATATGGTTACAAAGCCAAAGTCATAAACATGGAAACCACTATGTTTTGCAGACGTGAAAGTGAATAGTAAAGATGTAAAAGGATCAGAATACAGCAGCATTTAGACATGATAGCGTGAATATCAAAACACCTAAGAATACTAAAGTTAAAGCAAAAAACATTACGTGGTATTAGACATTTATCCATAGAGTACTTGGTGGTAAAAATAATTAAAAGATGTGAAAAGTTCACTGATGCCTGAGGTAAGCAGCGACCCGGTCGAATCCGGATCCCCAGCAAGAAAAAGGAAGAGAAAAATAAAGGTTAGTGACAAAAAGGTTGGCCAAAAAACACATTAAAAAGCAAAGTTAAATGCAAAACAGAGGAATAGGGTTAGAGAGAGTCAAAGGTCAGTACCCAAAGCCACAACTTTTGAGAGCAAGCTTTTGAACTCTAATTAAACTTAAAATAAACAAGTTTAACATCAAAGATTGAAAAATTTAAAAAAGGCAAAGCGAAAAACACTCACGGCGATCCATCGTACACAAAAACAACCCTCAACCCCTCTGCCTCGTATGTATAAACCAACCAGTCCCGATGACAGCGCTGCCCCACGTTCTCTGTGAACCACAAACCAGATAGGTCGACGAAGAGGAAGGGCGAGGGAAGATGACGGTGCTTCGACACGAGCAACGGCCGTGGCAGCTGAGCCCATGGCGACGGCGACCCCTCACCCCCTCTGCCTCGTATGTATAAACCAGCAAGTCTCAGTGACAGCGCTACCCCACGTTCTCCGTGAACCACAAACCAGATAAGTCGACGAAGAGGAAGGGCGAGGGAAGATGGCGGTGCTCCGATACAAGCAACGGCCGTGATAGCTGAGCCCATGGTGACGGCGACAACGGCCTCATCACCACCTAAGTCACACTACCATCTTCCCCCTCAATCACCTACCCTACGGCGATAGTATCCGCCCTCCCGCACACATGGCACCTAATCACCCTCCCCCGGTCGAGACCGCACCTCAAGCAACGCCCTACCTTGCCGCAGCTGCAGCTCCAGGCCCTAGGAAGCTCTTTGCACAGCGAGCACATAGCAAATCTCTGCACAGGCAGAGCCTGCATGTCCCACGACCATTCATCCTCATGGCCGCCGCCTCCACCACCGCCACCGCCTCCTCCTCGTCCTCCCCCTC